TCTGAGACAGGTTCCACTCTGTGGACCAGGTTGGCTTTGAACTCACATATATCCACCTGCCTCTCAGTCATCTGTTTTTTTTTTTTTTTTTTAATAGAATCTTCAGTTTGTCTTATCCAAGGACACCACTGGCTGAATGCAACTTGCTGAAGAGCGATCTGAAAGATGCAAATTTTATGACAGAGAGCCCAGAGCCCAGGAATGGAGGGCTCTAGGAAGGAGAGGAGGATATAGGGATGTGGGTCACTGGAGACCATCGGGGAGCTAGGGAGGGAGAAATGGTGCCGGAATGAGAAAAAGCAACACAGGTTCCTGCAGGATAGCTGGAGCTTTGTAGAGGCCCTGCTTGGAGTGAGACCCAAGGACTGTAAGACTTTAAGACGTCTAATCCTGAAGCCATTTTTGACAATTCTGAATCCTCTCAGCCTCCGTGCCATAGTGCTTCCCCTCCTCCCCTGGGAACCAAGGACCTAACAGCTACACTCGCACGTACTCAGTTCCTGAACAAAATTACCCATATACGTATGTTTTGGTTCGGTCCCCTGGGAAACGGGGTCAAAATGACCTCTTACCTCATCTGATCTGGCAACAGCTCTCTAGCCAATTATTGATAATAGCCCTTTCGAATAAGCCAATCAGAATAGTCAAAGAACAACCCCCCTTGCTCTCTGGCCCCTTTAAAAGTAGACTGTACCAGCTATTCGACGTCTCTCGGCTTCCCGAATGCTGGGGGACCCTGTCATGACAGAATTAATAAAATCCTCATGCTTTTGCATCGGCTGTGGCGTGTGAGGTGGTCTCTGGGGGCGACTCCTCCTCGGTGTTTGGACGCTAAAGTCCAACAGGACCACCACCAGTACGTGCCTCACCTAGGGGCTTGTGAGAATCATGGACCCACTCGCTCAACTGGGGACCACGGAGGCAGGACCTGTAGTTCAGGCCACTCCCCAGTGACTGGTCTGCACGTTGAAGCTGAAAAGCACAGGTCTGGGCTCAGATGGGCTGCTGCACGATCTTTGAAAAAAGAGCGAGGAAGAAAGCTGGAGCAACAGGAAGCGCTCCACTCCGTGCGGGAGTATGGTCGCCCTGGGGACGGCCCAGCTGTGCCTGCAGCCCAGCTGCTCCAATTATGTTTATCTCTTTAGCTAGCAGGCTGGGGACAGTCAGAGAGATTTGCATGAGGAGGCCTGCAGTACCGGGCTCGTGGGCACAGGTACCCGCCTGCTACCTAATTAAGATATCTTGGTAAATCATCTCCAGAACTGTAGTTGTTATTTTAGGTAACAACATAAAGAGAATGATAATGAAAAGTAACACCCTGGGTGGGAATTTTTACTTTGTTCCAGCAGTTGGCAAATAAAACACCTTGGGCTTTTCCTCCACAGGCAGCATTTGGATACATCTTCACAGGTCACGTAACCTCAAAGCCTGCACTGTGCTGTCTAGTTGTGTTTGTGGCTTCATTCGGCCACTGTGTGGGTGGGAGTGGGGCCTCCTCCCACCCCTTTCCATTCCTCTGAGTACTTTCTGAATTATCTCTGACTTGAAGTGCGGGAGGGTACGGCTTCCAGGTATGACGTGACATCCCCAGCAGGAAAAGCCAAGCTGAACTGCGGGTCACTTTTGGGTGAGAAGGCAGTTTCTCGTGGTTAACCTCACACGAGGCATTTACATAACAGTGTTTTCCCATCTTAGGTCCCTGTCGGCTCTGCACACTTGGGTTCGCCTTAAGTAAAAGCTTTAAGTAAAAGGTTTATCCTGCAGGCGCGCTCTGCCCAGCTGTGGCGTCCAGGCCTTCCGGCTCTGCCACAGGCATGAGGTCCCTGACAGGTCTGATCTCCAGGGACTGCCAGGTCCCTGGCATCACCATGTTTTCTGACTGTGCATCCTCCCGTCCTTCAGTCCTTATGAAATAGCCTTTGTCTACGGCCTGAGCTAAGGGCTCAGTGACATTCATGGTCCTGTCTTGCACTCTGACCTCCAGCCCTTTCATCTGACAAAGGCCCATCTGTGGGCCAATCCACCTTCTCTGTCCTGACATCTAAAAGAAGCAGGAGAAAATTCATAGCCTGATGGAGGCTACACAAATACAGGGTCTCAGTCTTCAGTAGCTGGATTCCCTGAGTTCTCTCATAACCATTTTACTTGGCAAGCCAGTTTTCCTCTTGATTAAAACCTAACTTCACTGGTACCGTGCCTCTCAGAGATGCCCTCGCTCCCCTTCCCTGCCTCTTCCATTTCTCATGTTGAGGACAGACAGACTCCCTAGGCTACCAGCAGAACAAACAAAGCAGAAATTCGGGGAGGAGGCCCAGGGCTCTGTTTTCAAGTCACCTTAGTTGAGAGCCACTCACAGGCCCCCACTCTCTGACTCTTCACTTCCTGTCTTTCCTCCACGTCACAAACCCGCTTCTGCCCCATCATGCTGTTCCATGGGGTTAGCAGGGTCACCCTTTTTCCCTCTGCTCTCTACCTGGCCATCTTCCCGGCACCCTTTGCACGGATCTTTCTGATACCTAAAATCTTAGTGGTGGTTTCCTTGGGCCCCCTTGGGTTTGGGTCTCACATCGCTGTTCTCCTCAGTTTGTTTCCTCCTGGGACCGCACAAGGTTTGCTCTACAAAGTGCACGTGCAAATAGTGTCTCCAAGCCTCCTTTCTCCCTAACAGCACACTCATCTGCTCAGTCGCGCGTGCGACGGGACTTGCTCTGCCTGGATGCATGGCAGGCACCTGCATCTCACAGCTTCCAAGGCTAATCCATCAGGCTTTTAGCTGCTTGCAAAGGCTGCCCTCTGCACTGTAAACCCCGCCCCTCATCACTGTTTAATATCTTCGTTTCTGCTGCCCAGGGGTCACTGGAGAAACAGTCTCAGGGGTGTTCCTCAGGAGACAGGGTCTCTCCCTGGCCTGGAGCTTACAGATTTGGAGAGGATGGCTGGCCGGAGAGCGCCAGGGATCCTCTTGTTTCTGCCTCTTTGTCAGATCTGGGATTAGAGGCATGTTCTAAGACACTTAGCCTTTTTTTATTCTGGGGCTGGAACTCAAGTCTGCAAGCACTCACTGAGCTGTGTTTCCCAGCGCCAGCCTCCTGAGTTATCTCCTAAATATCTCTATGACTACTCAAGCTACGTCAGATTCTCCCCATCCCTGGGAGCTTCTCCATGGCTTCTCTAGTGTTCTACTCTCTCTCTAGGTATGGTCAAGCTTCCCGTAGTGTGGAAGTCATAAGACTCTGTATGGATGTTGCTCTGGGAACTCGCTCAAGTCAGCCTCTGATGCATTATTCAAAGCCCCATTAACCTTCAGCCTCCTTGGGATTGAAGGACCCTAGGACCTGCGGGAGGGGGAGGTGTGAATGATAATCAGAGCTCTAAGGGCAGTGACTTCCACTATGACAGATTCACTTGACCTGAGCCCACAGTTCACGGGGATTCCACGGAGCCTGGCCGAGTGCTCCCTCCTGAGCTATCTTCCTGCTAAATCTGCAGCAGGCAGGCTCATGTTTGCTACTCTTGTAGCAGTGGGTGATGTGTTTCCTAGCAGGGAACACAAGCAGCTCAGGGAAGCTTTCAAAGCTGCTCTCGGAATCACTTGGTGGAGAGGTCCTCAGAAATGTGTCCCTTGGGAAGCATCAGTGCCATCAGGAGAGTCCGGGGAGCCTGCAGCGATCCCCTTGCATGCTGTTTAGGCAGGATCTGTTCTAGAACAAGCAGCTTAATGCCATGGGCCTAATCTTTTAGTGCTACTTCTTCCTTCCTTCCTTCCTTCCTTCCTCCCTCCCTCCCTCCCTCCCTCCCTCCCTCCCTTCCTTCCTTCCTTCCTTCTGTGTGTGTGATGCATGTGTACAAGTGTGGACACGTGTGCCACAGTGAGCATGAGGAATTCAGAGGATAACTTTCTTTTTTTCTTCTTCTTTTTTTTTTTTTCTTTCTGTGTTTTTCCCCCGGTGGAGATCAATCCACACGGACCTCTCGTTTATTGTTCAATGTTCCGTCCTATGATCAGTTCTCAGTCTTTGCATCGTCTCTCCTATGTTCAGGTTCCCCACCCCCAGGTAGTCTTACTCTGTAGCCCAGACACAAGACCTGGGATAACGTTCAAGAGTCAAGTCTCTCCTTCTACCACACGGGTTCCAGGGCTTGAACTCAGATCATCAGGCTTGGCAATGAGTGTCTTTGCCCATCTTGCTAGCCGCCTTTATTTCTTTATTTATTTTAGATACAGACTTTTGCTACGTATCTGGAGCTGCCCTTGAACTCATTATATATCAAACTTGCGACAATCCTCCTGCCTCAGCCTCCAGAGTGCTGGGGTTACAGATGTGTACCACCAAGCCCGGCTTTAGTGCCAGTTTCACCTGTACTTTATTTATTTTTTTCAAAATATTTATTTATTATGTATATAGTGTTCTGTCTACATGTATGCCTGCTGGCATGTCTGTGAACCATATCTGTGCAGTGTCTTCAGGGGCCAGAAAGGGGCAATCAATCCCCTAGGACTGGAGTTACTGCTGGTTGTTAGCTGGGGATCGAACCTGAGTCCTCTGGAAGAACAGGCAGAACTCTTAGCCTCTGAACCATCTCCCCAGCACCTCCTGTACTTCTTTAACTACAGCCTTTCTTCACTGCGGACAGAACCTGTGCCGTGGGCACTGCTGTATGCTCCCAGTGTAGGCAGAGCTCACGCAGTATTACCCCGCCGGGACTGACACAGTGCCTGGCGCACAGTCGATACTGGAGACAGAAACTGGGAAGAGAAGGAGTGGGAGGCAGACATGGAACTGGAGGGGCCTGACACATGGTTCTGTTTCTACTTGCAGTGTTTGCCGGCTCTATCCTTTGTGTCCAAGGGTCCAGGCCTGAATCTTGACATGAGCTGATGAGCATCAGCTCAAGCAGAAACAGCAGCCGGCTGTTTCAAGCCCTTCACTGCGGCTGCTTCTCTGGTGGAACTTGGGGACATGGCTTTGCTTGGTGTGCACCTCCCTCCTTTAGCTCACCTTCCGGGTCCCTTCAGGAAGTGCAGCTGTGATGAACTGGGCAAAGAGAAACAAAACACCCAACCCTGCCTGAAACTCCTCAGCAGGAAAGCCCTACTGTGGGCCCCTGGTCTCCAATATTCCTGGGGTGCATTGGCGGGGACAGTTTGTTATCAGTTAACTAAGCTTCCTGTGTGTTTCCGTGGTATCCCTGCCCCACCTGGTGATTAGCTGCAGGCAATCTTCTCCATTGTTAATATGGTAATTTCCCACCTGCCTGGGCGGAGAGATCTTTGAGCTGCAGTTAGGTAGATAAGGACTCCCCCAAGTCTGAATAAACGGCATTAGCTTGATCTCCTATCGAATGACCCTGGTCTCTGGGTCTTGTGTTCAATCTCCAGGTCCTTGCCCGGACTCGCATTCGGTACAGCTGCGCGCGAACTGTACCGAGGGTGTGACACAGAAACCGGGTGTTACGCCCTACTACTAGTGGTGCACAACTACCCAACAAGGCAGCCATAGACTTATTACCGAGAGAGCGGAAAGGTAAGAAAAGCCCTCTACAGACCCAGATGGCTTGGCCAGCTCACGCGAGATCTGCCACAGACTCTCAGGAGCTTCCGGATCCCTTCAGTTCTTTCCTCAGATTTCTAGACACGAGGTCATCAGTCAGGAACACCTTGGCTAACACGTGGTCTTTGAGGCAGAGTTTTAAACCTGGGACAGGATGTCAGAGTTCAACTCAGATTTTCCATATTTGGTTCATAAAGACCAGAGTTCTCTTGGCTAACTTGAGGGCATGGCTCATGGGGCTAGAACCTGGTTTTCCGAATCCCAGTTCTCACACCATACTGCATAAAACACTGTTTACAACACTGCGAGGATTGGGGTGCAGTGGCGCACGCCTTTAATTCCAGCACTTGGGAGGCAGAGGCAGGGAGATCTCTGTGAGTGCAAGGTCAGCCTGGTCTATATAGTGAGTACACACACCTTTGATCCCAGCACTCAGGAGGCAGAAGCAGGAAGATCTCTCTCAGTTTGAAGCCAGCTGGATCTATAATAGTGAGGGCTGCATAGTGAACCCCTATCTTAAATGTGTGTATATATATATATATGTTTTATTACATTGATTTTAACATTTTATTTTGTATGTGCCTTTGTGTATTCGTGCACACATGTGAGTGCACATGTGCACACGTGCCACAGCCTACATGTGGAGGTCAGAGGACAATTGTGAGAGCTGGCTTTCTCCTTTCACCACGTGAAACCCAGGGACTGGACTCAGGTGGCAGTGTCTTTTAGCTGCGGCACCATCTCCCCAGCCCTACGTTAGTTTTCCAGCTTTAAACCAGACATCAAGCCCTTCTTTGGTTTTACAACTGTCCTGGCAGATAGATGTCTGTGGAACATCCTCGGCTGCAGACAGACAGTAAGAAACTCTTCAGGGGGCCAGACATTACCAAAACCATGTACAGGAAACAAAGTTGCTCTGGAGAAGATCAGGAAGGACAGGCAAGAAGAAAATGAGGACCTTGAAGGGGTGGGGGGGTCCTGTGAGGCAAAGTGAGCATTTACAGGCCCCGAAGGACGGGGGTGGGAGTGTTCAGAGACCCGCAAGGTGTGAGCAAGGCATGGCAAGAGCAGCCTGGGAAGCAGCCAGCAATGTAAAAAAGGTGTGTGGGGGGTGGTTTTTGTTTTGAGATGAAGTGTCATGTAGTCCAGGCTAACCTCAGACTTCCTATGTCGTCAAGTGTGACCTAGAACTTATAATGACCCTACCTACATCTCCCAAGTGCTAGGATGAGACACGTGTACCACTACACCTAGTTCATACAGTGCTGGGGAGAACTCAGAACTTTCACACATGCTAGCCAAGTAATCTGCCAACTGAGCTACAGGCCCAGACCCTACAAAGGTATTTCAAAGAAGGAATTAGCGAAGACTTGTATTTTAGGTGCATTTAGGAACCAGATGGAGAAAAAAAATATTTAAGGTTTCATTTTCAGTTAGAAAGTAATCATCTAGATTCGCTTGTTCATTCATTTATTGATCAAAATTTATTTGCCCATAATGTCAGGCAGGGACTGATTAGATCGAAGGAGAAGTCACTAAACCCGGAGAGCACTGACGAAGATGGAGCTGTAGAACTAATGTGGAAGATTACAGACTCGAGGCCCACCAGGAGCCAAAAACCAGCAGCACCCAATGACTAGGGACATGGGGAGGCAGGAAGGAAAGAGAAACATCTTTGCGGATGATGGAAATAAATACCTCAGGCATTATTTTAGGAGTATGTGGAGACTTGAGGAAATTTCTGTGAGAAGCTCTAGAAAGATTAAAGCCCACGCGGGCACTCGCCCGCCCATGTGCCTGCACTTGAACACACCCATGTGCAGCACTCGAACATCAGTCATCACCTGCAGCGGTTTGGGAAACAAGAGGCACCCTTGGAACTTGTTATTTCTTTGGAGGATAAACAGAGACACCCCAGAGAAGTAATTAGATCATAGACGGGATTGTAGGTTGAACAGAGAGAGGTTGAAAGAAAATAGAATCGTCTTGCTGGGCCTCCCTGGACAGCCTTGTGGTAAGCCTTTCCGACCAGAACTCTAATTTGATCAAATTGGGGCTGCTGTCACGTGATTTTATAAAGAGTTTTCAAAAACACAGGGCAGCAAGAACAGCAGGTGAATGCATATGGGGCGGGAGACAGAGCAGGCTGAGTAAAACTTTTTAAAAATAAGAGTTATATTTTTTTCAAGGAAAGGAATTTTAAACATTTTTTTAAAACTAATGTTACTGTAAGAAGCAGATGAGTGGGCTAGAGCATCCCTTTCTGGTTTCTTATTCCTTATACACTACCACAGATACAGCACAGCACAAACACAGTTGTGCACGGTGACTCTTGGCTGGGTAGCTTGCCTCCTAGTCCCTCCATTCTGGGCAAGAGTAGAATTTAGGGTTACAAGTCTGGGGGTGAATTCATCGCTGGGTCAGACTCTCTTGTGCTACCTGAGTAGGGTCCCAGCTTTCTCTTGCTGTTGGAGGATGGGGCACTAGAATCAGGCTCTGAAGTCAACCTGCGAACAAGATTCCGACGATACTGGAGTCAGGGAGGTGGCTCAGTAGTCAAAGTGCTTGCTAGACAAGCAGGAGGACCCAGGTTTGGACCCTCAGGCCCATGTGTATGCTGGGCAGAGGAGGTGGCTTCTCTGTGAGCCTTGGAAGGAGGAGCTAGAAGTGCCTCTGGGAGAGCTGGCTAGGGAGACTGGCCTAATCTGTGAGCTCTGGCTTTGCCTGAGCAACTGTGCCTCAAAGAATAAGGTAGAAGAGAGATTGGAGAAAGATTCCAGGCACCCATTTAAGGCTTCCTCATGCACACACACACACAAACACAGACACCAATACACACATCACACACACATAAACATGGAAAAAGAAAACTGGAGCTCTCTCTATTCCTGACATTGTTATACTATCTGCCCATTCTGTAAATGGCCTCTAGGGGTTTCATTTCAGGACTTGATCTGACTCCAATACAGGAAGGAAGCACGCTCACTCAAAGGGACCCAAGATGCATGATGAAAGCAGGCTCCCAACGTCGTACTGAGAGTAAATGTTTCATAAGCAGCAAGGGTTTGGGGCTGGTTCAAGTAGCTAGAAACGATCGCTCTGGAGAAACAAAGCTCACTGCCAACATGCGATCGATCGCAGCTGAAGGCTCAGCTGCAAACCTGAGCAGTGGGTTCACAGGGAGCTCTCAGCCTCACAGAGGCCTTCCGCAAGAGCAGCCCACCAAGGTGCAAGAGGGGTCCCAGCGAGCTCAGAAGTGCCAAAAATGTCATCCCGCGGAGTAGCTTTGGCAGCTAGGCAATTGTTTTTTTTTTTTGGGGGGGGGGGGTTTCAAGACAGGGTTTCTCTGTGGTTTTGGAGCCTGTCCTGGAACTAGCTCTTGTAGACCAGGCTGGTCTCGAACTTACAGAGATCCGCCTGCCTCTGCCTCCCAAGTGCTGGGATTAAAGGCGTGCGCCACCACCTCCCGGCTAGGCAATGGATTTTATACAAAATATTTGTCTTATTTAATGTATGTTCTTTTCCTTCTTTTGTCTTATTTTCTTTCGACATGGGGTCTAGGTTTCCCTTGGTTGATCTTGAACTCGTGGGTTCAAGTAATTCTCCTGCCTCAGCCTCCCAAGAAGTTGGAACTCCAGAGTACAACACTCCACCTGACTTTTTGTTTGTTTGTGTTCAGGTGGAAAGGCAAAGATGAACAGTAAACCAGAAGGGATATTGCTTGGTTGTGCTAGAAACCCCCGGGCTGGTAAGAAGGAATTTCTATGGAGAGAGCAAGGTGATGTGCCCATTTGGTTGGGCCCCTGTGAAGGCTGCACATGCCCCTACTGTGCAGAGACTTGGGAAGAAGAACCACCTCTTCAAAGGACAAAGGAGAAAACAGAGAAGCCAGACCCCATAGGCTTTTGTCTTCTATTCTTCATTGGACCAAAAGGCTGAAGACTTTTTTTTTTTTTTTTTCTTTTTCGAGACAGTGTTTCTCTGTGGCTTTGGAGCCTGTCCTGGAACTAGCTCTTGTAGACCAGGCTGGTCTCGAACTCACAGAGATCCACCTGCCTCTGCCTCCCAAGTGCTGGGATTAAAGGCGTGCGCCATCACCGCCCGGCCTGAAGACATTTTTTATGTCACCTATAATTACCAGAGGGAATGAAATAGCCCAAGTGTAAAATGTCCCACAGGTGCCTGGGGTAAATAAAGATCATGGGAGCTTGACATCTAACGGGAGTCATTTCTTCTGTTGCCCTGTGCACCAGCCCCTTTGTATCCAACTGCACTCAGTAAAGAAGCAGGAGACAAGCAAGTGGAGGACAGGACTTGGCTCTGCCCGAACACACAGGGGAACTGCCATAGCCAGCCACAATGTTGCAGTTACAGTAAAATACAGCTACGGTCTCAGGTGTAAGTTTTCCCATCACCTGAAAAGCTGTTGACTATGTCTGAAGAGTGAAAGATACCCCAACTTTGGATCTGCATCACCCTCAGCATCTCCCTAATTAAAGCAGCTTAGATTACAGGTCAGAAGTTCAAACGTAAATGTGAGTATAAACTACTAGCCACAAAAGGGGAAGGGCTGTGGTGGGAACTGCCTCGGAAATACCGCACGTTAGACAGGACCCTACAGAACCCACTGAGAGTCAGCCTGAGGTTGAGCAATTGAAACTGTTGAAACTCAGACATAATTAGAGGCTGCAGAGATGGCTCCAGGTTGAGAACTTGCTTGCCCTTCCAGAAGACCCACAGTCAGTTCCCAGCACCAACATCAGGCAACTCCAACCACCTGTGACTCTAGCTCCAGGGGATCTGGCCTCTGAGAGCACATATGCGTACACACACACACACGCACATACACACACACACACACACACACACACACACACACACGTGCGCATACACACACACACATACTTAAAAGTCTTTTAAAAAAAGGAAATTATAACTAAACACCTAGGACAAGCCCACAAAATTCAAGGAATGCATATGATCAGATAAAAACTTGGTTAAAATGTTGCCTTAGTATCTCCCCAATGCCTAGTCCACTTACAGACTCTTCTGAGGAGCCACTTTTTCAGACATGCTTGGTTATCGGCTAAAAGGTTCTTGGTGCTTGGCTTATTTCCTCTATAATGATGGAAATAGAGCTCTCCCTAGATGTGGTGGTTTGAAAGAAAATGGCCCCAAAGGGAGTGGCACTATTAGGATGTGTGGCCTTGGCATAGGTGTGGTCTTGTTGGAAGAGTCACTGTGGAGGCAGGCTTTGAGGTATCACATATGCTCAAGCCACACCCAGTGTCTCAGTTCACTTCCTATGGCCAGGGAATCAAGATGTAGAATTCTTAGCTCCTTCTCCAGCACCTTACCTGCCTGCATCTGCCATGTGCCACCATGAAGACAATGGACTTATCCTCTGAACTATAAGCCACTCAATTAAATGTTTTCCTTTGTAAGAATTGCTATGGTCATGGTGTCTCTTCACAGCAACAGAAACCCTAACTAAGACACATACATTCAAATTTTTCTTGGGCTGGAGACATGCCTCAACCATTAGAGCACCAGCTGCTCCTCCAGAGGATCAGGATTTGGTTTCTAGCACCCAAATGGTAGCTCATAACCATTTATACCAGGGGATCTGATACCCTCTTCTGGCTTCTATGGGCACTTCATGCAAATACTGCACAAACACACAGGCAAAACATCCACATGCAAAATATTTTTTCCTTTTTCTATGCAAAATATTTTTTAAAGATGTTATTTATCTGTTTATTTATGTATTTATTATGTATACAGTATTCTGTCTGCATGTATGCTTGGATGCCAGAAGAGGGCACAAGATCTCATTACAGATGGTTGTGAACCACCATGTGGTTGCTGGGAATTGAACTCAGGACCCCTGGAAGAGCAGCCAGTGCTCTTAACTTCTGAGCCAGGTCTCCAGCCCCCACACGCAAAATACTTAAAAATTGAAAAGAAAAAAGTCCAATGATGTGGCCATGTTTGTTTGGCTTCTGGTGAGTGATCCTCGGCTATAACACAACAAAGTGGACAAATGGAAGGGTCACACGTGCAAGAGGCCACACACATGAGGTGGCCCCCTTTGGACAGCCCATTTCCCTGAGGAGACTGGCATAAATTCCTTCTAAGTGTAATGTACCATGGTCTTGTACTAGGCCCCACCTCTTAAATCCTGTCACCCGGTAACCAAGCTTCCAACATATGTGTCCGGGGGACACAAATCACATCCAAACAAGTTCCTTAAACCTGTGCATGGTTTCTACGTCTGGTAAATAAGAAACTATTAAGAGAATCTACCTTCCAGTAATTACAGTTTGGGTTATCCATAGTTTCCTATGAAAGATTATTTCTGTCATAAACTTTCACCTCATCTTACAGGTTGATCAAACAACAACACTACAAACTCTAGTTACTGCACATCCATCCCCCCCAGGTCTCAATGGAGTGGGGCCTGTCTACAAGTTTCTTAGAACACGATGAAGGGAAGTGGTCCAGGCCACTTCTAGATGAATGATGTGAATAGATCTTATTATCATTGATTAATAAAAAAGTTGATTTGGCAAATAGCCAGGCAGAATATAGCTAGGTGACAGGGAAAGAAGGCAGAGTCAAAGAGACACCACCAGCCACTGGGGAAGCAAGATATGAGGTAACAAGTCATGAGTCTATGGTAAAATATAGAATAATAGAAATGGGTTATTTTAAGATATAAAAGTCAGTTAGTAATAAGCCTGAGCTAACAGGCCAAACAGTTTGTAATTAATATTAAGCCTTGGAGTGGATATTGGGAACTGGTGGGCAGGAGAGAAACCTCCAGTTATAGTGAAATACCTAGAAATTTGAAGCTGGACTCAGGTGCACCTGTTGAGTCTGCTCTGGGTGGATTTTCCTTGAGCTCCTTCAGGGCGAATCCAGGGCTTGACATTACACTGAGCTCAGTGTAAATCTGACACGACCCATCTAACTTCTCCAGGCCACATAGTCCTGGTGCAATCTTGGCGCTTCCAGAACACAGCACTTCCCTGGGGTTGGTCCTGATGCTTCAGGTTCTATTCAGGATGCTCAGCTTCATCCACCTACCCTCCCCACCTAACAAACTTCCGCTTGTCTTTGCAGTTTCATTTAACCTCATATCCTTTACTTGAGAACCTGTGCTGTCTCTCTGTATCAACTCCTGGTTCTAGTTCTCTCTCTCCCTCCATATGTGTGTGCCATCCTGACGTTGTCCATATTCATGGACTAATTGTTTGGCTGCCTCTTCTATTAGATGGCTAACTAACTCCTGGAATGCCTTGCAACACAGGGGATGTGGGGCATTTCTAGATGATGGAATGATGGGTGGGCCCTCTGGGCTGGTTTAGAATTAAGTCATCTGCTATGGAGCCTTGGTTAAGAGCCATGGAGACTGGAGAGATGGCTTAGCAGTTAAGAGCACTTACTACTCTTACAAAGGACCCAGGTTCAGTTCCCGGCATCCACATGGTAGCTCACAATCCAATGCCCTCTTCTGACCTCCTCAGGCACCAGGCACACACATGGTGCCCAAACACAGATACAGGCAAACACAGGTACACATAAACAAGTCTATAAAAGTCAGAGGAAGTCCAGGGCTCCTACAAATCTGTTCTTGATAGAAACTGGGCCAGGCAAATGGATTTTTCTACCTCTGAGATACAGAGCAGCAGTGGTTAGCACCCGCTTTTGGAGAAACTAACTTCCAAAAGAATGATACGGCTTTTGCTTGAATGTTACGTAGAACAGAGGCAGCATCTAGGACTGATGAACGAATGGGCAGATGGAAGAGAACCATGAATTTCTCACGAGTTCTGCTGGTGTCCTAATAGATCTCAAGAGTGTGGAACAGTGTCTGCATGCTTGCATCTTCACAGAGCCACAGAAAGGAAGGGCTTCAAGTGGCCTTCCAGACCAGTTACTGATGTAGCTTACAATGACTGCCTCCTTGGTAGACAGAAAACTGAGATTCGCTGGGTCAATCTGCTATCATAGTTCTTTACAAAGTGAACTGTTGGGCTAGTGAGTTAGCTCGCCAGAACAAGAACCTCTCGCCATGACTGACAACCTGAGTTCAATCCCCAGGACTGACATGGTGGAAGGACAAACCTGAAAATTATCCTCTGATCTCCAGACTCCCACCATGGCATCCATGCACCCCTCCACACACTCCACAATAAGTAAATAAAACATGATAAAAAAATTTAAAGCTAAATGTTCTTCATTTTTAAATTAAAGATTTCCCACTTCTGTGGTATTAAGATATTTTTTTTCTTAGTTTAGGGATGTAGTTCAGTAGGAGATTATGTTGTCTGAGTTTGCATGAGGTCTTTGGATTCAATTCTCAATACACACACACAATCTTATATGAAAGAATAGTGATTATAAATAGTAGCTACGTATATTCTTGTTTTGAAAAATGTATTTATCTCTGTTCATTATTATTCAAATTAGGTTTTTTTTCCAAAAAATTTTCATTAAGATACAGTTGGTCCTTATATCTATAAACACCACAGTTGTGTCCTGGACATTTTGTACTGACTTCTCTTTTAAATTCTCCTTAAACAGCACAGTACAACAGCTGTTCACACAGCACCTGAAATATACTAGGAATATGCCACATACTCTAGAGATGATGTCCACAACCAGGAAGGGAGGCTGGGTATGCTGATAAACACCTGGTCCCAGCACCCAGGAAACTGATGCAGAAGGATTGTGAATTCAAGGCCAGTGTGAGCTACATTGTGAGTTCCAGCCCAGCCAGGACTATGATGTAATATTCTATCTCAAACCGAAGAAATAAAAACAAGATATAAGGGAGGATGTAGGTATGTATTTGCAAACACTATGCCATTTTATATAATGGATTTAAGCAGATGAGGATTTTAATATACATTTCCAATTCATTTTTTTGTTGGGGAGAAGGGTTTCAAGACAGGGCTTCTCTGTGTAGCCGTGGCTGTTCTGCAACTCAGTAGACCAGGCTAGCCTCGAACTCAGAGATTCACCTGCCTCTGCCTCCCGAGTGCTGGAATTAAAGGCATGTGCCACCACCACCTGGCTTCTAATTTTCTTAAAAATATTTTTATCTGGGGCTGGAAAGATGGCTCAGAGGTTAAGAGCATTGGCTGCTCTTCCAAAGGTCCTGAGTTCAATTCCCAGCAACCACGTGGTGGCTCACAGCTATCTCAGGCATACACACAGACAGAATATTGTATACATAATAAATAAATAAGTATTAAAAAAATTTAAAAAAATATTTTTATCTGGGGCTGGAGAGATGGCTCAGAGGTTAAGAGCATTGCCTGCTCTTCCAAAGGTCCTGAGTTCAATTCCCAGCAACCACATGGTGGCTCACAACCATCTGTAATGGGGTCTGGTGCCCTCTTCTGGCCTTCCAGGCATACACACAGACAGAATATTATATATATAATAAATAAATTAATTAATTAAAAAATATTTTTATCTTATTGTTACTTATGTGCATAGGTTGGGGGTACGTGCACATGAGTGTGGGTGCCAGTGGAGGCCAGAGGTTTTGAATTCTCTGGAGCTGGTGTTTTAGCAGTTGTGAGCCACCCAGTGTGGGTGCTGGGACTTGAACTCCAGTCCTCTGGAACAACAGTGTGGACTCTTAGCTGCTGAACCATCTCTCCAGCCCACCCCCACCCCGCCCTCTTTCTTGAGATACTGTCTTGAAGCAGGCCAAGCTTATTAAACTTCCTATTTTCTGCCTATTTGTAGAAGAGGAAATGGGAACCTGTGCAGTCAAATGTTAGAGCATTACTCAAACAAGAATGGCCTTTATCCTGAGTAAGAACAAGAGATGCCAGCACTCAGTCCCAGGCCAGTCCGGGATACACAAAGAAGCAAACAGAACAAAGTGAAGACTAGGATGGGTCTCCTGCTGCCAGAGCTTGAAACTCTTAGCTCTCTTTCACCAAGTTCTGAATGCTAACAAGGTGCAGACCCTCACCCTAAAGGCACTTGTGGTGCAGAACTGAGGCGAAGGAGCCTTTTCTGTATTTCACTACACTCCAGGTTAGGTAGGCTCCACTGTCCTCTGCCCTTACATCATGACACACTTCAGATGCCAGGGTGCACCCTCGTCATTTTCATTAGATTAAAACCCAACAGCATGGTATAAGATGATTCATAAATGCATATACAGGTAAACACGTTATTTCATTTATACGCTTACCTTCTCCCTGATCAGTCACAGGCAGAAGCCTCTACTATAATGTAATGCAATAATTCTGCATCTAGGGCAAGATGGGCCGGCTTATTTCTGCTCATCTGTTGAGTCACATAAATATCAGGAGACGACACATGTTAGTGAGACAGACAGAAAAGCCTTTAAATCCAGCTCAGCAACCAGGAAAATATTCAAAGCTGAGGTAATGAAATTTTTAGTCCATTTATTTCAACTTCTCATTATTATTCTATTAAAAAAAAAACTTGGAAACTATTTAACTCAAGTTTGAGAGAAAAACAGGGCAGGCAAGCTGTAACTCTCGTCAGCTGCCAGGAAGAGGGAGATGGAGGAGAGAGTTAGAGAAAGCCATATCCTTCTCCATGGAGGCTAGCACAGCTGCATGGCGCACAGCTGCATGGCGCACAGCTGCACGGCAGCACAGCTGCTTGGCACAGCTGCATGGCAGCACATGGGGCTTTAGAAAAAGTGTGAGAATATGCCCAGAGTGCCAGAGAAATCATGTATAGGCTTTGACCAGTATCTGGGAAGACAGAAAGGGAGAGAGACAGACAGACAGACTCCTAGCTGGCCTGCAACACACAGAGATCTGTCTGCCTCTGCCTTCTGAGTGCTGAGATCAAATGTGTGTGCCCCATATACCATCTCCAATGAATTTTATAGCCACTACATTTATGAAAGTTTCTAATTCCTGCTGTTAATGCTGTTCAGTGTGCAGGCCCAGATACTTACCTTTTTTCTTTGTAAAGTAATTGAGCTTTATTATTGTTTATGTGTGTATGACGTGTGTACAGATGAGCTTGCACCATGGCCTGTGTGTGAAGGGCAGAGAATAACTTTGTGGAATCAGATCTCTCCTTCTATGTTTATATGAGTTCCCTCAGGTCAAGCCTGCACAGTAAGTACCTTTACCCGCCAAACCATCTCACTGGCCTCTCCCCTCCCTGTAACGGGTTGAACAAGAACGGTCCCCATAAGTTCATATTTTGAAGCCTTGATTCCCAGTCAGTGGAACTGGTTAGAAAGGATTAGGAGCTGTGGCCTTGTTGGAGAAGGTGTGTCACAGGGGGTGGGCTTTGAGGTTCCAAAAGCCCATGCTAGATCCAATCTCTCTCTCTATCTCTCTCTGTCTCTGTCTCTCTCTGCTATTTTGTTCGTGTTCTGACAAATAAAGCTTGCTTGGAGTCAGAGGGCAGAGTTAGCCACTAGTTAACCATAGAGGTTTGGAGGCCTGTAGAAAGAGGACAGGAAGTGGTAAGGCAGGGCTGAGACAGGACTCTGCCCTTCTGGATGGAGGAATGCAAGAGATAGGAAGTCACTGGTGGCTGCTCCACTGCTACTCTGATCCTTCAGGATTTTATCCCGACATCTGACTCCTGATTTTTATTGATAAGATTAACGGGATTTATGCTTCATATATATATGTGTGTGTGTGTGTGTGTGTGTGTGTGTGTGTGGACACCTGTTCTGGGTGCAAGCTCTCAGCTACTGCTCTGGCACCATGTCTACCTGCTGCCACACTCCCCACCACCCCGTCATGGTGATCATGGATTAACCCTCTGAAACTGTAAGCAAGTTCCCAATTAAATGCTTTTTTAAAAAAATTATTAGCCTTTTTCTTAATGGGTTCATAACATATTTTGGTTATAATTCTTTCATATTTTGGATCAATCTGTGGTTATCTTTGCATTTGTGTTTTAAGAATTATTTATTTATTATGTACACAGTGTTCTGTCTGCATGTATACCTGCAGGACAGAAAAGGGCACCAGATCTCATTACAGGTGGTTGTGAGTCACCATGTGGGAACTGAACTTCTAACCTCTAGAAGAGCAGCCAGTGCTCCTAACCTCTGAGCCATCTCTCCAGCCCTACATGCTTTCTTTTATAAGTTGCCTTGGTCATGGTGCCTCCTCATAGCAACAGAACAGTAACTAGGACAGCCTGGACCATACCCAGTACTCTGTAAAAACTTTAAATTTGCAGCAGTAAACACAAACCCACTGTGTTAAAGAGACCAAACACTAAAACAAACCCTTTCCTAGTATAAGACAGGTGCTGGGTAAAAATGAAGTCATTGCTCATACAATTTTTTCACTTTGAATTTTTGAGGTAATTTCAGATTTACAGAACTGTGGATAAAAGCAGGACATCTGCGCTATCCTTTCCAGCCCCTTCCCTCAGTGTTGGCGTCTGGTATGAGCGCAATGCACACATCCAGATGCAAAGTCTGACATCAGTACGCTAGTTAATCCGCCAGCACTTCTGCTGCGGCTCACCTAGTAAGGTGAGCATGGTAACAACGGTTCACACGGTAACGGTGCACACGGTAACGGTTCACACGGTAACGACCTTCCTCTGGCTGTGAACCCTGGTCTAAATGGCATCATAGTTTACAGTCACTGACCTGTAGGAATCAGTGTTTCATCCACAGGCAAATACGCCTCTGCTGCGATGGTGACTTCGTGGTCATATATGTCTGGGGAGCCCTGGGAAGGAAGAAAGAGAGAGAGAGAAATGTACTGCCTGGGTCTTTTTGGGGAGAGTGGGGGTTGAGAAAGGGTGTCTCTGTGTAGTCCGGGAACTTGCTATGTAGACTAGAGTGGCCTCGAACTCACAGAGATCCACCTGCCTCTGCCTCCCAAGTGCTGGGATTAAAAGTGTTAGATACCACATCCGGCTACAGGGTTTTATTTTAGGTATTCACTTTCTAATGTTTGCAAAAATGTCTACAAGTGGGGCTGAAGAGATGGCTCAGTGGTTAAGAACACTGACTCTTCCAAAGGACGGACCCAGGTTCAAATCCCAGCACCCACTAGCAGCTCATGGCTGTCTGTAACTCCTGTTCCAGGGGATCTGACACCCTCACACAGATAGCTATGTGGGCAGAACACCAATGAACATAAAATACAAATAAATAAATTATTAAAATGTCTACCAGCATTGACAGTTAACTGATGACCATGACTAATAAGATCACTTAAGGGGGGCTGGAGAGAGCATTGCTTGCTCTTCCAAAGGTCCTGAGTTCAATTCCCAGCAACCACATGGTGGCTCACAACCATCTGTAATGAGGTCTGGTGCCCTCTTCTGGCCTGGAGACATACACACAGACAGAATATTGTATACATAACAAATAAATAAATAAATATTTAAAAAAAATCACTTAAGGGTAGGTAGAAGGAGTCACCATATGGTCACCGAAAGTTTGGAAAAAACTATCAGATGTGATTGCAGGGTGGGCAAGGTGGCTCAATGTATAAAGGCACTTGTTGCCAGCCCTGTCCCCACAGGGTAGAGAAGATAGTCAACTCCTATAAGTTGTCTTTGGACCTCCGTAAATAATTCACAGTAAGCATTATGTATATGTGCATGCATAAATACAATTTCCAAAAAAAATGGTCCTAGCATGCAACTCTCTGACATAAAAGATAAAAAGAAGGGGGTGGGGCTGATCTATAACACACAAGTCTTGGATAGCCAGGGACCACTTTCAGGTTTGCCAGAGAAGGTCACCTGTCACTCTTCTCTGGCTTAGCTCCTACCCACAGGACACGTTCCCTGTCACACAACAGAAGTCAGAACCACAGTCCCTGCTTCTGAGAATAAGTTATCTGGGGGAGAGGCAAAGACTGATCTAGGAAGCCCAGTCAGTGGTCAGAAGTCCCAGGGTTCTGCCTCTCGCTCGGTGTCCCCAGGGAAGTTGCAAAATCTTCTGGAAAATTATTTGTTTTAGGAGAAAACTGGGATATGCTTTTCCCAGGGCCCCTTCTGAAGTACAGGTTAGTTAGGGGATTTGCTGCTTGCAGACTGGAAGTCATTTTTATTCATATGAAAACATTTAAGCACTGTTTCTTATTTTCAGTATCTTAAAGCCAACACCACAGAAAATGGGAAACGCGGTGGTGGTGGGGCTTCCGCCTCACGGCTGCTCAGAAATCAACTGAAGTGAAGTTTCTTAGTCGGGGGGATTTTTGCCCTCAGAGGGACATCTGCAATGTCTGGACACTTAGAGCTGCTGCCTTCTAAACCAGAAGGGGTCAAGGACACCGCCAAACATCCTAACTGCAGAGAAGCCCCCACTGCCACCAAGAATTGCCTCACCCAAAATGTCAGTGCCAGTCTTGAGAAACCCTGGTGAAGCTCCGCAGAAGCCAGACTCTAGGGAGGAGTAGGAGCTGGGTGAACACTCATCTTTTTTGTTTTCCAAGACAGGGTTTCTCCGTGTAGCCCTGGCTGTCCTGGAACTTGCTTTGTAGACCAGGCTGGCCTCGAACTCAGAGGGATTCGCTGCCCTTGCCTCTCGAGTGCTGGGATTAAAGGCGTGCGCCACCACTGCCCGGCTTGGACATTGGTCTTTATAGTTAGAAAGACTCAGGCTGCATGATCAAAGTAGTCATTCTGAGAAGAGGTCAAAGTTCAGAGACACGTGAGTCCACGTCCAAACACAGCAGGAAAGGGCTCATTTCACGGTCTGGAGGCTCTGCTCTGAATTCGCATGAGGTTGGACCGAAGCCTGGGTGGCCCTTGGTCAGGAGCCACAGTCTATCTAGAGAGCAGCAGAGTCCTAAGGCTCAAGAGCCAGGCCCATGCCTCCTCCACTTCCCTCTGCGTCCAGGTCTCACTCTCCTTCCCCAGGAGTCTGCCTTCTTGCTGCCATTCCTCTGTAAAGAATAAATACCTACTTAGAACCAGAGTGCTGTTCTGGTTTCTATGGCTACCGACTGATTTCTTCTGTTCTGGAATTTCACATAAATGACCCCACAGTATCATTCAGTCTCTCCCATCTACTTCACAACACAATGCTCTTGGATGTGTCCAAGTCCCGGGACCAGTGGTTTGGTCCATTGTACTGCTGGTCTAGTATCGTCGGGCTTTCTACAACCCTCCCGGAGATAAACATGTGGCTTGCTTCCAGTGCCTTCACAATAGGAACAAGGCTACTAAGGAATTTCCTTGGCTGTTTTTTCTTTAAAAAAAAAAAAAAAAAAAGGAGCTGGGTGGTGGTGGCACACACCTTTACTCCCAGCACTCAGGAGGCAGAGGCAGGTGAACCTTTGAGGCCAGCCTGGTCTACAAGAGCTTGTTCCAGGACAGCTAGGACTGTTACACAGAGAAACCCTGTCTCTTGAAAAACAAACAAAACAAAACAAAATGTTTTAAGTACTAAGGCAGGAAGAAAATAAAACAGCATGAAAACCAAGCGACAAATACACGGATATGTATGAGGTATTAGGAAGGGCGAGGGAAGCAATGTGTATCGGCACCCCTTGCTCTGAACAGCCCAGGCATTTCTGCACTGAAGAAGCAAACGTATTTTCCATTTTCCGTATCTTCTGCTCTGGAAAATGTAGTGGGCTACGTTGGTGGAAGATTACTGTCAGACGCACTTCCTCTTCAGACCTATGAAAACTTGACACGAAACACTGGTTCCCACACAGACCTTGAGGCCCCTCTCCGAGTTCAGTGTTTTCTTCTGATAATTTCCCTTGACTGATGCTTGTTGTAACCACACTGTTTTCACGCACAGTCCGTTATGAGCGGCCCAGGTCGTAAAGACCTGCTTGTGCGTTGCCATGACTACTGCCTTGCAGGAGGTGAAGGACGTTTCTACTCAAAAGCTGCAGCTACTCCTCTGCCTTTAGCTCCCTTTCCCCTGGAAGGAATCAGACTTGCTGGCTGATGTAGAGGGAAGAGAATCCTGCTGCAGCCTCCAAAAACAATAATTCTGTTTTAATCTTCTCACTGGTGATTGGGTTAGGTAGAGCGTGGGTCACACTTTTGGCTGATGAAACATGAGACAAAGCTGTTTCTGAACACTGTCCTCATTGTTCTTAAGAAAGGAAGAAATCCTGTTTTATCTCTGGAGACGAGTGTATGAGAATGAGACTCCGAGCTACAGAAGCCATTCTGTGACTACAAGGGGGACAAGTTTGAAGACAAAAGCCCCAAGACCAAGGAAGGTGTGGTTTGAATGACATGGTCCCCATAGGTTCAACTTGGTCCCCAGTTGGTGGAACTGTTTGGGAGGAGGCATGTCACTAGGGGTGGGCTCTGAGGTTTCCAAAGCCCAAGCCATTCCCAGGTAGTTCTCTTTCTCTGCTTCATGAAGATGGGTCAGCGCCATGTCCACCTGCCTGTTGCCATGTTCCCAGTCATGATGGTCATGGACTAACCTTCTGAAACTGGCCCCCTAGATAAACTCTTCTAGAAGTTGCCTTGGTCACGTGTCTTATCACAGCAATAAAAAGTAACTAAGACAGAGGGAAAACGGATAAATGGAAGAAGATGGATCCCTGAAGGCACAAGTGTCTAGGCACAGCCAGAACGACACTGCTTCCTTTCTACCTCAAACCTCCCCGTGTGCTTTCACCGTTCTACAGATAAAGTGTTCCCAGCCAGGCCGTGGGGCACGCCTTTAACCCCAGCACTCGGGAAACACAGGCAGGCGGATCTCTGTGAGTTCGAGGTCAGCCTGGTTTACAGAGTGAGTTCCAGGACAGCCAGGGCTACACAGAGAAACCCTGTCTCAGAAAAACAAGAACAAACCAACAACAACAATAACAAAAAAACCATGTTTCCTGAGTTTTGCAGAAGGCACAGACTAGGGCAGAAAGATAAAAAGCAAAAAACACCTGTAACCTACATACCTTTTCCATTCTTTGAAAAACACAATTCCACACTCTCATCTGAGGACCCCAACATTGAAACTTAAAGCTAGTACCCTGAAGCTCGGGCCCCAAACTAGAAAATTCTGTTTACCAAATGTAGAAGATGGGGGTGGGGGCTCACACCTTCACCCCCAGAACTGGAGAGACTGAGGCAGGAAGATGGCTGTGAGTTCCAGACCAGCCTGGAATAAAGAATGAAACTCTTCCTGAAATCAAAACAAGAACAAGCGAGCAAGAATCACCTTCACTGTTCTGAACGTTGGGGTCTCTGTAAGAACCAGCTAGCTGCTATTGCAGGAAGTGACCACCAGCAAAATCAGCAGCGAAACCCAATAAAGGGTAAAAGTGGACAATGTTTCCTGTTGGTCAGGGTTACCAGCTTGCAGATCACACCACAGAGATTCCAATGGTTAGATAAGATGTGTTCTTCAGAAGAGGAAGTCATAGAGACAGAATCTACAGTTGGGCTTCTCACTCAATCCCGGGACAGCCTCTTCAACAGGTTTAAATTATTATCTGGGGGAGGGACTTGGTTTACAGGGGACTGCTAATGAGGGAAGGGGCTGTCAGCCATTCTACACAATTCTCGGATGTCATCTTATTTATTTGTTTGTTTGTTTTGCTTTCTGGGATACGGTTTCTCTGTACAGTTCTGGCTATCCTGGAACTTGCTTTGTCAACCAGGCTGGCCCCGCCCTCACAGAGATCCGCCTGCCTTCTGCCAGGTGATTAAGTGTCCTACTATTAGGTTGGTTTCAGTCTTTTCACCAATCACTTCACAAAGTGCTTCGAAGGCAGCTGATAAAACAAGGTTAGCTACGATTATGAAACTGAGAACAGGTTTAGTAATCTGAAAAGCCAGGTCTTCTAAATTCAATTCCAGTGCCTCATCACTGGACTGACTATACAGGGCAAGAATGACCAGCAACAGCCGGGGAGAGCCGTAGGACCACACAGCTGGAGCACACACTGCCTGCGGCACATTTAAAGGAGCTGGGGGCAAACACGCCCACTTCCAGCATTTAAGGAAGGCATCTTAGATGGGAGTGGTCTTGGGCAGGGTGAAGTACAAGGGAGCACGTGTGCATTTATGAAACCAGATGAAAGGGAATTCCTGAAATAACCAGTCATTTGTCTACATCACAGGGAAATGGCTACTTCCCTTGGCAGGGTGACATAGTCACTCGCTCTTCTATGATTTCTAGTTTACTGAGCATCTATTTAAAGCCAGATACTCTGGTAGGGCCACTTTCATCAACAAGGGCGTGAATTCATCTCCATGATGGGCTAGTCTCTCCAGCCACATCCCGCGGTCCTCCCTCCAGCACTCTGGTACAGCAGGAGAGAAAGAAGTAAGTTCACTTACCTGGCCTGCTAGGTTGAAGTAAGAATGGTTGGTCAGATTAACCGGTGTGGTCTGGCTGGCCTGTGCTCTGTAGTTGATTACAAGCTCCCCACCATCCAGGGTGTATGTCACCCAGACTTTCAACTCTCCAGGGTAGCCTTCCTCACCATCTGGACTGACTCGAGAGAACTGGACACCATTGGACAACACCTGAGGGGTCCACAGGACCTAGGAAGAAGTGTTCAAAGCTGCTTAGTCACTCCAGTCCCCGCCGAAATGCCACATTTCAATATTTAAAGAGCAGAGTCTAGAAAGGGAGCCTGTTAGGCAGAGATAAAGGCTTTTGAATAACAGTCTGGATCTTTGCCCACCTAACACTGCTTTATACAGGAAGGCGGCTTTTGGGGGAAAACATTTTCTCCTTTATCCACTTGCATTTCCTATATGTTCTTCTCCTAACTGTATACTATGTATTTATGTGTCTGTTTTTCTTTGTTCTTCTTTTGAGTGCTTGTTTGGAGGTTCTAGCAGGGGAGCGCAGCTACTCATATACCCTTGACCGAAGACCAGTCCTCCTCTATTCGGGGAAGGTCGTCCTCTTCAACTGAGCGTGCAGGTTCGGGAGGGACGCACATAGAGCGGTGAGGGAGGAAGGGGACACCCGCCTAGCCAGCCAGATCAGCCGAATCAACTGGCGATCAGTGGGGTGACAGATGCTGCAGCCAGATAGTCCTCACATCCTTTGTTCTTCTTTTGATTCACAGCCCCCACCCCCAAGTCCTGGCTGTCATGGAACTCGCTCTGCAGACCTGGCTGGCCTCAAGCTCAGAGACTCGCCTGCCTCTGCCTCCTGACTGCTGGAATTAAAGGCGTGTGCCACCATCGCCCAGCTTGACAAGTATTTTAATCTTAGCATTCCAATCTGACAAACAGAAGACATTAAAACCTACTTATAATATTTATTTATTTTTTTTGGTAGGTTTATTTTTTTAAGTATTTATTTATTTGTTATGTATACAATATCCTTTCTGCATGTATGCCTGCAGGCCAGAAGAGGGCACCAGACCTCATTACAGATGGCTATGAGCCACCACGTGGTTGCTGGGAATTGAACTCAGGACCTTTGGAAGAGCAAGCAATGCTCTTAACCGCTGAGCCATCTCTCCAGCCTTACTTATAATATTTAAAGATAGAGGATCTCTGAGTTTGAGTCACTAGGTCTACAGGTCCAGTTTCAGGACAACCAAGCTTAGGAGGTAAAGGAATAGTGGAGAATAGGAAGCTGGTGAAGATGGAGCTGATGAGGGTCCAGGTTCCAGCCCCAGTAAGTAGGAGTACTTTGTAGCTTTGGCCACATGGCTCTGGCTTTAGAGTCAAGGACGGAAGAAAGGAGTTATGGAATCTTTCTACTCGAATAAGGAAAGCCACTGTGGCCAGGAAAGTGTCAGGGGTGTCCCAGAATGTGTCCTCCAAGATGTTGAAGATGCTAGAGTCGTGGTGTACCTGCCAAGGAAAGTTGCTAACAGGACATGGAACCAGCTCAAGAGATGGAAGTGTGTTGAGGTCAGCAAAGATGAAAGGAATCGAAGATCTGAAGAGCATTTTGACATCAGACATGGAGATGCAGAATTTGGAGTTTGCCCAGCTAGTTTTTGGTCTTGCCTTTGTCCAGTATTTCCTCATTATTCTCCCTTTCCTCCGTTTTGGAATGGTAATGTATTTACTGTGCCATTTTATGTTATCTTCTTTTCAATTTTGACTTTATAGGGGATTAGAGTTAAAAGATTGCACAAATCTCAGAAGAGACTTTGAATTTAAGACTTTTAAATAAGCGTGAAACTGTTATAGACTATGGGGAGGGGACTTTTGAGGCGGGCTGAATTCATTTTTGCATTATGATATGGCTACAAGTCTATGGGGCCCAGGGAGTGGATGTGGTAGTTTGAAAGCAGTGGCCACTGTAGGGAGTGGCATTATGGTGTTTGGCTTTGTTTGAGTAGTTGTGGCATTGTTGGATGAAGTGTGTCACTGTGGGGATGTGCTTGGAGGTCTCCATTGCTCAGGCTTACTCAGTGTGACACAGAGTTGCTTCTGCTGCCTGTGAACCAAGATGTATAACTCTCAGCTCCTTCTCCAGCACCATGTCTGCCTGCAGGACCCCTGCCATGGTGATAATGGACCATGCCTCTGAAACTGTAAGCCAGCCCCAATTAAATGTTTTCATTTATAAAATAAATAACTAAATAAAGATAATCTTGGGGCCAGGAATGTGGCTCAGTTGGCAGGGTGCTTGCCTAGCATGCATAAAACCCTGGGTTCAGTTTCTAGACCCACACAGATCCTGACAGGGTAATGTATGACTATAATCTCTACATTTGGTAGGCAGAAGCGAGAGGACTAAGAGTTCAATGTCATTCTCAGCTCTTGGGGAGTTTGAGACCAGCCTGGGCTGTATGAGATACGATGTTCAAAAACAAGAACTTAACCCTTTTCTACTAAGGTTGTTTATTATCATCATCATCATCATCATCATCATCATCATCACCATCATCATTTTGGTGTTGGAACCCAGGGCCTTACACATGCTAGACAAATGCTCTCCTACTAAGTGACACCCTCAACACCTCCATAAATATTTATTCTAAATACTCTGAGGTTGGCCATGCTCCCTGAGAAGGGTTTAAAGCAAATAGCTAGCGTGCTTATTCTATTTCGAAGAGCTGCAATCCACAAGTCAAGGGTCCCAATTTAGGGACCAGTGTGTCCCTTACTTAGTGTGTGGCTTTGGGCACCAACCTTTCCCTAAAACGGAGGTACTGAAAAAGTTATCTGGAAGAGGTCTTCTTATCCTAGCAACCACAATTCTAAGAACAGTAATAACTATGAAGAAGTTCCCTGAAAGTTTGCTTTTGCAAACAGAAACAGGAATCCTGGGTTCACAGTGGAGACTCTCAGCTTTGCCCGGGAGTCTTTTTTTTTTTTTTTTTTTTTTTGGTTTTTCGAGACAGGGTTTCTCTGTGGTTTTGGAACCTGTCCTGGAACTAGCTCTTGTAGACCAGGCTGATCTCGAACTCACAGAGATCCGCCTGCCCCTGCCTCCCAAGTGCTGGGATTAAAGGCGTGCGCCACCACCGCCAGGCTTGGCTGGGAGTCTTAAGCTCACACATCTAGTAAAGGCAAATCCAACATTTGCTGAGTGCCCATTCTGAGCCCCACCTGGCTAGCTACTTCACAGGGGCTGTCTCACCATCTCAGAGGAGACTTACAGGAGGCACCGTTATCCAACGACCAGAGAACTGAAGTTCAGAAATAAAAGGAAGCCTGTTACATGTGTCATTTTTTAAAAAGAAAAAGAATTTCCCCAAATTGATAAACTGTTCCCTGCAGGTTTCCTGGACAGCGACAGTGAACTGGAGCCAGAACGTGTGCCTGCTCCCTTGTCCTACAAATATCAGAATGAACTGGCCAGAGTCTCATTCGGATGGAGTTTGGGTGGCTCGTAAAGGGCTGGAGTAAAGAACTTCCGTGTGCTGAGTGCTCCTGGCTGCTTATCAGTTTTGCATAAGCCACCCTGAGTAAGAGATTTAGGTCCACCAGGCATAGGTTAACAAAGAGCCCTGGCCATTTCTTATAGCGCCGACTAATTTTGTTATCTCAGTATTGAGTTCAGTGGAGTCAGGTTGCCTGCTTCTACCTCCCACATTGCAGGACAGAGGAGAGCCCTAGAATCCTTCATGATTTAAAGGAGGTGAGGGTGCAATCTTGCTTAAAATCCAACATGTAATGAGTGCTAGAGCCAGGCTTCAAACGCAAGTCTAGCTGTCTTTGTGATGCCACATTTTGGTTTCAGTAAATGTGCTGTTTAAATTTACACTTAAGAAATATTTATTGCCAGGCAGTGGTGGTGCATCCTTTTAATCCCAGCACTCGGGAGGCAGAGGCAGGCAAATCTGAGTTCGAGGCCAGCCTGGTCTACAGAGTGAGTTCCAGGATGGATAGGGCTACACAGAGAAACCCTGTCTCAAAAAACAAACAAACAAACAAACAACAACAATAAAAAAGCAAACAAATTTAATTTTTTAAAAAATGTATGTGTTTCTGTGTGGTACATGAATAATATGCCTGTGGAACCCAGAAGAGGATGTCAGATCTCCTGGAGCTGGAGTTAAAGGCAGTTGAGCCACCTGACGTAGTATGGGAACTAAACTTGGATTCTCTGAAAGAGCAACAAGTATTCTCTTTTTTTTTTTTTTCTTTCTCTCTTTTTTAAAACAGGGTCTCTCTATGCAGTCCTGGCTGTCTTAAAACTCAGGCTGGCCTCAAACACACAGAGATCTGCCTGTCTCTGCCTCCTGAGTGTTTGGATTAAACGAATGCATCACTATGCCCCGCCAGCTGCAGCAAGTGCTCTTAACCACTGAGCCACCTAGGCAGCCCGACTATCCTTTCTTTGAAGGAATGGGTGTAGTAGGTTTGGGTTTAGAGTGGCCTCGAACCTGTGATCTCTTGCCTCTCCCTCTTCATCCTTTTCCACTGGCACGCATAACTAGCCAAATCTCCATTTTTAACAGAACAGTTGAATGAAACCTGTAATTCCAAATAGAGTTAAAAGCTAATAACCTGTAGACCAGAGGAATAGCCCATGAGGCCAGGTCTTGTCTGTTCAGCTCCCAGTAGGGTCTGCTCTTATCCAAGGTGCATTTGACAGGAAGGGGAGCCCAGCAGCGGTGAGGGCCTCTGTATTCCCCACAGTGAAAGCAGCTACATTGAGAACAAATTTACTGAGATCAGATGACACCCTAACTCCCAGAGATGGTGACATTTCAAGGTATTCTAAATAGAACGCCTAGGGGCTGGAGAGTTGGTTCAGTAGTTAAGAGCACTTGTTGCTCCTGCAGAGAACCCAAGTTCAATTCCCAGCACCCATATTATGGCTCACAACCATCCATAATTCAAGTCCCAGAGAACCTGATGCCCCTTTCCAGGCATTCAGGGCACAGGCATAAAGCAAAACAACAAGGACTCGTAGGGAGGATAAGACAGATCTGTGGGCAACAGCATTTGCATGCAAGCCTGACAATCTGAGCTCCACTCCTAGAACCCACAGTGTAAGGGAAGAATGGATTTTTTCTTTTTTCTTTTTCTTTGGTTTTTCAAGACAGGGTTTCTCTGTAGCTTTTTGGAGCCTGTCCTGGAACTAGCTCTTGTAGACCAGGCTAGCCTCGAACTCACAGAGATCTGCCTGTCTCTGCCTCCCAAGAGCTGGAATCAAAGTCGTGGCCACCACTGCCTGGTGAGAATGGATTTCTAAAAGTTGTACTATGATCTCCACATGCACAGCACGCATGCACACACACACACACACACACACACACACACACTCAAGCATGCATGAGCACAGACACACACACACACACACACACACACACACAAGCACACAAAGCAAATTAAATTTTTAAAAAAATTAAGGAAGCCTATACATGTGTAACTTTAAGAAAAAAGGGCTGGAGAGAGGGCTCAGAGGTTAAGAGCACTGACTGCTCCTCCAGAGGTCCTGAGTTCAATTCCCAGCAAGCACGTGGAGGTTCACAACCATGTAATGAGATCTGGTGCCCTCTTCTGGCCTGCAGGCATACATGCAGACAGAAAAAAAAAGTGGGTGGTGGTGGGTGACACACGCCTTTAGTCCCAGCACTTCGGAGGCAGAGGCAGGCGGATTTCTGTGAGTTTGAGGCCAGCCTGGGCTACAGAGTGAGTTCCAGGACTGGCTCCATAGCTACTGAGAAACCCTGCCTCGAAAAACCAAAAAAAAAAAAAAAAAAAACTTTAAGAAAAAAAATCCCCAAATGGAAAGTTTTAGGAATGAAATGCTTGAAATAGAATGTTTTTGCCTGGCCGCCTAGATTTTTGACCTTTAGAGAAAGTGCACAATGGAAATATTTTTATTATCCGCAGCTAAGTGTGATTCCTATCCAGGGAAAGGGCTTCCTGACCCCAAGTTTCCACATTCCCAGAAACCTCACATCCTTAGTATTTCTTGTACTATTTGAACGTTGTCAGGACGCAACGTTCATTAAAAGAAAAGTGAGGTATAAATAGAAAAAGCACATTATCTCCAAGCTAAATTATTCATTTACTGTTGAGATCAAATAAAGAATAAAGCATCAAGTTCAACAATGCTGCTCATGTTACTGTTTTAAAACTTCCGGTCCCAAACTTCAGTGGCTCCAAAAAAGCCTTGTCTTCCTTCACAATCATTCTCTAGACATCCACAGATGGAGGGATGCTATCTGCTCCTCAAGGGCAGTTCAAATCCCACCACCCCCATCGCTATGCACCTGTTCACTTCCACAGCCCACTGCTCATCTACCTGCTGCACTGCAGGATCCTATACCAGTTCCGGAAGGGGCGGGCGGTCCTTGGAACCTCGGGAATCTAACTAAGCCCGTTAGGTTCTCTGGTGCGCAGAAGAGACTCCCTCCACTAAAGGACATTGCTGTCATTGGAGTGTGTCGCTCGGAAGTTTTGTCTGTTGGAAACTTGGTGTTTGAGGTAGAGCACCTGATGGGTGGTTAGGACGAGATGACGCCAGGATAGCGAGCACAGCCCCCGCCCCATGCTGGTTTCAGTGGCTTTATAATAAGAGGAAGAAAGACCTGAGCTGTCACGATTATTCTAAGAGACCTCCTCCATGTCAGCACCAAACAAAGGGAGAAAGAGCTGGCATCTGAGACAAAACCAAAGGCTGGTGCCTTGCTCATGAACTCCCAGTTGCCAGGAATGTGAGCTAATTTAGACCTTTCTTAACAAACTACCTGGTTGGTATAATCAGTTGTACCAATATAAATGTTCAGAGGCAGGGTTAAGAGGATGTATTTCGGCTGGCAGAGTGACTACCTGGCATGCACGAGGCTCTGGGTTCAGTTCCCATCACCAGATAAAACTGGCGATTCCTGGGCTGCAGAGACAGCTGAGCAGCTAAGAGTGTTGGGCACTCTTGCACCGTATCCAAGTTTGTTTCCTAGGTCCCGCATCTTGCAGCTCACAACTGCCAGTAACTGTAGCTCCAAGAACCCAACACCCTCTCGGGCCTCCCTTAGGCACACATGCACATTCACACACGCATGCACATGCACACACACGGATGCACACTCACACACGCACACACACACAAACATGCCCCCCCACACACACATGCACACTCTCACACAAATAGATAATAAATCTTTAAAAAACAAACAAATTAGCAATCCCAGAAATAAGAACTAGAGAAAGGAGGATCAAAAATGCAAGATTATTCTCAGCCACACAGCCAGTTCAAGGCCAGCATGGGATACGTGAGATCCTGTTAGGAAAAAAAGAAAGAAAAGAAAAAGAAAATGTAGGGAGGCAGACAGATATGCACTTACTATTTGTGTTTGTAAAGGGAATATGTGTTTGTGTCAATGAATAACACAGAAAATACAGAAGAATAGAAAGAGGAACAAGCTAGAACAGGTTGCTGTTTTGAGGCCTCTCTGAAGATCCCTGTTCCAACCAAGGCTGGGTCCAGCTTCCTCTGGGTTGAGGTTTGCTCACTCGCAGACCTGGCATCTTCTGGAAATCCTCAGCCCTAACAGTGGTGGAACCGACACTTCCCTCTACGGTCTGCTCTTCCCAGTGTGAGCAGCACCTCGCCAAGGAAAGGGAACCAACAAGGTAGTCTGGTTCTAGGACAGGAAGCTGCTGACAGAAGTGGGGGAAACAAAGGGCAACCAACTTCCTTCAGCAGAGAAGAAACGGCGGCTTTGAACCGCCACCCACGTTCTCATCTTCTCCCGCTAGCGTCTAGAAAGTAACCGAAACTGCATGACCCAAAGGAAAGTTACCTCGGAGGCTTTCTCCCTCGCAGCCCAGAACAGTCACAGAGTCACTGAGCTGAGCCACCGAGGGGCTGGGAAGCACAAGGCAGGGATTTGTCCATCACCGGGAAGCTGCTTGATCCACTTGCCTTCCTGACCGTGTTTCCCAGGGATTTGGGAGTGCTGGTTGAGAAAGGCAGGCCTGGGTATCCTACTAGATGTGTAGCTTTTGGGGGCCTCAGCAGTCACATTTGGTAATCATACATGGTTTTTACAGTACTAGAGAAAATAGGTGCAAATGCCGGTGCAGTAAGTCATAGAAATAATCATTAACCCGCGGTTCTGAAACCCAGCTCCCTGAGGCTAACGCTGTGTAAGCCACGCTCTGTCTTTTGTCCAAGGCTGTCAAAGGCTGGAACCCACAACCTCTTCCTGGATCCCTCCACCACATGGGTGTTCCAGAGCCTGGGATTATGTCTGTCAAATACAGGCTTGCAGGGACTTTGGTGTGCCACGAGATGTGGCCCTGTCACATGCTCAACTCACCTTGTCAAACCCTCTGAAGCCTCCATGGAGACTGTTGGGCTCTCTGTTGATGGGCAGGTGGTACTCCTTCCCATCCACCGTGAATCTTCCTTTGGCAATTCGGTTGGCTACCCTCCCAACCACTGCTCCAAAGTAGGGCTGCTTCTGCAGGTAACCTGCACAGACAGACAGGGCATAAAACCATTATTTTTGTTTTGGTTTGTTTTTTGAGATATGGTTTCTTTGTATAACAGCCATAGCTGCCCTGGAACTAGCTCTTGTAGACCAGGTTGGCTCAAATTTACAGAGATCTGCCTGCCTCTGCCTCCCAAGTGCTGGGATTAAAGGCATGTGCCACTACCACCTGGCTACATACACTTTTTTTTTACTTCAAGAATACCACACAATTAACAAACAGAAGAAGATTTTATACAAATGAATTCAAAGTGATTTTTTTTTAAAAAAAGAGGGTTTTGATTTTTTTTTTTTTTTTGAGACAGGGTTTCTCTGTGTAGCCCCAAACTCAGAGTCCTGGATGCTGGGATTAACGGTATACATCACCACCAATTGCTTATCCTAAGTTTTGAGATCTGCCCATCCCTAACATAGCTATCTACCACCATATTTCTCTCGATGGCTATAAGGTATCCTGATGAGAATAAAATATTATTGACTTCAGGGCAAGTACTATAAAAAGCAAAGTTGCATTGTTGCAATTATGACTTTGAACATAAGCATATTATAGTGTTTCCCACTTCTTTCTGTTCCTCTGTTCTTGGTTTACAACAGAAAATATGGATTTTTTGCAGGCAGTTTTTTTGTTTTAACATGAGGAATACTGGGCTCCTTCCCCGAGGCGCTGTAAAACCACCACCACGTCTGACCAACGGAGATGGGATTCAATCTTGTAAATTCCTTTTCCACAGCTGTAGGAGACTGTCGGGGTACAGACCCTGAGCTGATTAGGCCAGTTCCAGGGTCCCACTGCTCACCTGGCCCGGCACGAGCTAAACATTAACCATTTTGCAAGCTCACTGTCCTGTTTCCTTCCTTGCTAACTCATGATGCTTCTGAGCAATTTCTAAGTCCTGGACACTTGCTGGGTGCTCTGTGTTTCACTCCTGTCGTCCTTAGAACTTTGTGGAAGTGGAGATACTCTTACTAACCCCATTTTACAGAGAAGTTAAAGGATTAGCCCCCAAACAACATCGAGCGGTAAAACCCAGACTTGATCTTGAAAGTCTGGTTCCAGAGTTTATGTTTCTATTTCTCTCTTTTTCAGGCAGGATCACGTGATACAGCCTAACTGGGCCTTGTGATTCTTCTTTTTCTACCTCCCAACTGCCGGGATTATTGTATGGGTCACCACGGCCTCCCTACTCTTAAGCGTAACATCGCCGACCAGTTCTCCCTCAGTATCCCAGCGGAGGCCGCTCCACTCAGGACACACCCTCGTGAGACATCAGAATCCACAGATGTTCACATTCTCATCGAGGACAGTGAGGCATTTGCATATAATTCATGCATATTCTCCCGAATACTTTTTTTGGGGGAGTGCTGGGAATTGAACCCAGGTCCTCTGGAAGAGCAGCCAGTGCTCTTAACCACTGAGCCATCTGTCCAGCTCCTCTCCCACATACTTTAACTCACAAATTACATATAATACTTAAACTTGTAAATATTACATGAATAATTGCTAGGCAACAACTAGAAAAGTCTAAACGCCTTTAGTACAAATGCAATCCCCTCCCCCAAAATTCTTTCTTTTCTTGCTTTATTAATATTATTATTTTACGTGTGTGTGTGTATGTGTGTGTCCAAGGAAGCCAAAAGAGGACCTTACAACTGCCTGGAGCTAGTCACAGGCAATTGTGAGCCATCCAATGTTGCTCTGGAAATTGAACTTGTGTCCTTTGAAGAAAAACAAATGTTCCCAGCTGCTGAGCCATCTCTCAGTCCTCTCTGTCCTTCCTCCCTCCCTCCCTCCCTCCCTCCCTCCCTCCCTCCCCTGGCAGGACCTTACTGTGTACATGGTACAAGTCCTGCACTAGGCTCCCAAGTGCTGGCATTATAGAGACAGGGCACTGGGACTATCTCTCCCAAATGTTTCTAATACATGATTGCTGGAATCAACAGGTACTGAGGGAAAACTATATTTGGAAGACACAGGTCATTCCGGTTGAGTGGCCTTACCACCTCCCTACAGGTGGCCATCTCTCTGCCTGCTCTATTCTGTCTCCTACCTGCCTCCATTTCAGAAGCTGTGGCTTTAAAACCCATTATAGCAGTCAACCAAAAGAGTCCCAAAGACCCAAACAACCTCTTTTTTGTTTGGCTTTTACGTGAATTTTGGCCAGAAAGGGAGTGATTCTCTTTGTACTCACCATAAAGGGTCATGGCTGAGCCATCAGCAAGAGACAAACACACCAAATGTAATGGTCATACTCCGTGACACAGGAGCCTTCACATCTAAGACTCAAAGACCTAAGGTGAGAAATCCATTTTTGTGCGTAGGGCTCATAAAAGGTGGACATCTATGTAAAAATACAGCTTGATAAAATGGATATAATGCCATAGCAAGGAACTGAAGAGGAAACCCAGCAGGGTCTGTCCATTAGATTCTGGCTGGCCTCTTTGGGCAGAACTCCCTTCCCTTAGGTTTGGGTAAGACCTTTTCTCTATAGTCAGTTAGGGAGAGTCAGCCAACTTAGAAAGATGGGAGAAATAATTACTTTTTTTTTTCTATGTATTGTGGCTGGCTTTGGGAAAGAGGCTTCTGGTTCCTGAAAAAGAAGTCTGCTCTGAGGCAAGATTTGGTGGAGGATGATGAAGGAATACCAGGAGAACAGGAACTGGCCAGACACTGCATCTAAAAGCTTCACTTTGGGCTATCATTTTCTGAATCCCAGTTAGGCTAAAAAACATAAAGAAAAACAATTTTTGACCTATCTCAAAAGAAAAAGGAGGAGGAGAGGAAGAAGAAAGAAGGAGGCTGGGTGGTGGTGGTGCATGCCTTTAATTCCAGCACTCGGGAGGCAGCCTGGTCTACAAGAGCTAGTTCCAGGACAGGCACCAAAACTACAGAGAAATCCTGTCTTAACAAAAGAAAAAAAAAAAGAGAGAGGAGGAAGAGGAGGAGGAGAAGGGGGCTGGAGAGATGGCTCAGAGGTTAAGAGCATTGCCTGCTCTTCCAAAGGTCCTGAGTTCAATTCCCAGCAACCACATGGTGGCTCACAACCATCTGTAATGAGGTCTGGTGCCCTCTTCTGGCTTTCGAGCATACACACAGAGAGAATATTGTATACATAATAAATAAATAAATATTTTTTTAAAAAAAGAAGAAACAGCAGCAGCAGCAGCAGAAGAAATAAGAACAATAAATCCAAAACTTTGTTTGGTCTGAAACTGTTTGGCTGTATCTGTTTTTCAGAGAAACCTAATATACGCACATGGAGCCCCACTCCATGCCGTGCCAGGTGTTAGAGCCGTGTGTGAGACAGCAAGGATCCTGCTCGGGAGTTTGTAAGAATCCCTTCCCTGGGGCCTCTTCTGACAACAGTGGCTGGGGCCCTGGAAAGAGACACACTTCCCAGTTCCTCAGTTTGGATGAATCTGGAGTTTCTGAGGACTAAGGCAGAAGGACCAAGAAAACATTCTTCCTGGCTGTCTCTGGGAGGAAACCTTTTATAGAACAAACACATCAAGTGCCACGAAGCCTTCCCATCAAATCAGGACCGTGAAAAATGACAAGCTCAGATCCTGAAGAGGGCATGGCTGAAAGGGGTTTGAACTGCAGAAAATAGTATTTATCATCAAAAGGTCAAAGTTCTGCGGTCTAGCTATGAATGCTTAGGGAGCCCAACTGCCAAGTTGCAAGTTTGTCCTGGTTTTGGAGTCAGAATAAATTACTAAATACGTAATGGTGTGGTGTGGGACACCCTTCTGTATGCTGTGAATCTGTTTTATTACTATTGGTTAACAAAGAAACTGCTTTGGCCTATGACAGGGCAGAATACAGCCAGGTGGAAAAACCAAACTGAATACAGGGAGGAAGAAGGTGGAGTCGAGGGAGATGCAAGTAGCCCCTGGAGAAGCAAGATGTAAGGTAACAAGCCACAAGCCTCATGGTACAATATAAACTAATAGAAATGGGTAATTTAAGTTGTAAGAACTAATTCATAATAAGCATGAGCTAATAGGCCAAACACTATGTAATAATTATTAAGTCTCTGAGTGGTTGTTTTAAAAAACGGCTATGGGACCCGGCGGAACAAGAAACCTCCAGTTATAACGGTGGGAGACAGCCTTTCTACCCCCATACTACCCAATCAGACAGCCTACGACTTTGCCAGTCAGAAGGAAAATTACTCTCTGCTTCCTCCCAAAAGCTCCCTGTACTAAACTCCTGTTTTTTTTATTATTTATTTTTATTAAAAATTTCCGTCTTCTCCCCGCCTCCCATTTCCCTTCCCCTGCCCCCTGAACTCCTGTCTTTAGACTGTAAGAAAACAACTTGAATTGATAGTCACTTTAATTATGCCACGTACTGCCAGGTGGTGTTGGCACACGCCTTAAATCTCAGCACTCGGGAGGCAGAGGGCGGATCTGTGAGTTTGAGGCCAGCCTGGTCTACATGGGAGTTCCAGGACATCTAGCACTGTTACAGAGAAACCCTGTCTCCGAAATAGAGATTTAAAAAAAAAAAAAAAAAAAAAGATGACAGATATCTCCACGACACATTATCAGGATAACAAAAATTAACTAAATAAAAAGTCTAGCAGAGTGAAAGAAGCTACTTAGGGACAAAAGAAGGACAAGAGATGACAATACTAACAGTTCTCTAGTTAGAGACTTTGCTCACATGGTCGGACATGGGCAGATACATACACTACAGGTCTGGAGACCTTAAACAACTTGCCAAAGATCACACGGCTTAAACAAAGCATTGATTTAAATCAGGAGTTCTCAGTGTTCCAACAAGGGCAGCCTTGGGCATTTGCAGTATCTGTCTTTAACCAGGACTCTTTTGTCTCCACTCCCTATTCAAAACCTAGGTTTTTGCTGTTTCTGTCCTGAAACAGGGTCTCAGGTATCCCAAACTAACTTTGATGATGATGACCTAGCAAACACCACCATGCCTTGTTTTTATGCAGCAGCAGAGATGGAATTCAAGTTGGGTTGTTTTTTTTTTTTTTTTTTTTTTTTTTTGGTTTCGTTATGTTTGAGTCGGGGTTTCTCTGTGTAACCTCGGCTGTCCTGGAACCAGCTCTCTGTAGACCAGGTTTGCCTCAAAATCAGTTATTTGCTTGCTTCTGCCTCCGAAGTGCTGGGATTAAAGTCGTGTGCCACCATGGAATTCAAGTCTTTAAAGCTACGTGCATGTTGGGCAAGCATTTTAGCAACTGGGCTACATTCCCAGCCCTTGTACCCCGGCACTGTTTGTTCATTACCAGTCATGTGCTCTACCATTGAACTACATCCCCAGACTTCAAAGCATCAAGGGTATTTTTTCATTCTTTCATAGTGTCTGTCACAGCAGTAACAGCTGGTTATTTGGTAGTAACTGGGGAGGGGGGCAATGATAGGGAAGGCGTCTCATTGATTGCATGTATGGGTGGGATGTTTATACCCATGGCTTATAAGCAAATATTCTTATTACAGGCTTTGAGAGAAGTCATAATGACTATTGGGGGGGGGGGTCACACAAGATGATAAGAAAACAGAGTAAAAACCCACAGGAGACATTCCTGATTTTATTTTTCAGGCTACAACTAAAGGATCATATATAATTTCCCTCTTTAGAATTCTACAGAAGAAATATCTCATTTTCCCAGAGAGAAATTGAGCCATTCTGACCTCTGGTCATAGCTGCCAGCCAAGCAGTTTATGTAACAATCTATCTGGGAGACAGGCAGTTACAAAAGGGACATGGTTCACAGAATTACCAATGTTTGGCCTTCCTCATAGCTCAAAACAGTTCAGAGACAAGGCAAATTCTTTCACTTCAGATTACTTGCTCAGCTTGTTTATGTAAATTTATACACTCAAATTTAGAAAATTAAACTACAATTATTCATTTACTTATTTGTGTGTGTGTGTGTTTTCAGGGACTGCACGTGCACCCGTGAAGGTCGGAGGACAAGTCAGTTCCCTCCTTCCACCATGTGGGTCCTGGGAATCAATTTCAGATTGCCAGGGTTGGCAGCAAGCACCTTTACCCAGTGAGCCATTGGTTCCATTATCAGGGTCTTACTAGGTAGCACTGGCTATCCTAGAATTTGCTATGTAGATCAGATGCCACCAAACCCACTCTAAATGTTCTGTTTTGTTTTGTTTTGACACATGGTTTCTCTGTGTAACAGCCACAGTTGTCCCGGGACTCGCTTTGTAGACCAGGCTGGCCTCAAACTCCCAGAGACCCCCCTGACTCTGCCTCTTGAGGCATTTTATACTTTTACAGTTGAGATAATATACTTCCTATTGTGACATGAGCTAATGCCCATCTTCAACAACACAAAAAGATGCTATGAAAACCTGAAAAACAGGACTTTATAAGGGGAACTAGGTTTGCTTTGCCATAATCTTGAAGGCGGCTAACATCTCAGAAAGCCTTACTTAATCTACAAGTGTTTTCCTTTCAATTTCTCTTTTGAAAATAGCTTTTCTTTCACTTTAAAATAATTCAGTATTTTACAGCACAGGAATGAAAATGTCCATCTTGACAGATACAGCACCAAGAATATTTTAAAAGTTCTGGTTTGGTGAAGCTGTGATGCATCTTGATAAGAAAGTGCTATAGACCACGGTTCTCAGCCTTCCTGACCCTTTAATACAGTTTCTCATGTTGTGGTGACCCCCAACCATAAAATTATTTCATTGCTACTTCATAACTGTAATTTTGCTACCGTTATAAATCCTAATGCAAATATCTGATATTCGACCCAAAGGGGTGGTAAGCCGCATGCTGAGAACCACCGCTTTAGAGCTTTCTCAAGCAAGCGACCTGCTGGGTAACTTTGTCTAGAGCTTTTCTGAACAGATGAGGATAATTCCTTCACTGAGCCTCCAATAGGCACCCCAAACTAAGATGAACAGCCTCACGACTGGCACTTCCTGGCCTGTAAAGAGACCGGTGCCCCTGGGTGGGATGGCATCCCGGCTCCCATTTCACTTGGATTCCCAAGAAATCTTGTGATCTTATTTCAGGCCCAAGGACTCTCACCTCAGAACTAAGGCGCGAGGGTGGTTGTGTGTCTCTATGGGGTGGTGGGTGCTCCCCCCTCCCCGCACGGTGATGTGGCAGAGACAGACATAAGAGCAGGTACCACCCACCACCTCTAAGGCTCAGACTGGCTCTGGAATTCTCCGTATCAGATTCGCCCTTCACTCTACTGTAATCCCTGTGATTTTATTTCAGCTCAGAAAAAGGCTGTGCTACCACAGAGAGGAGTGACTCAGCAAACCGGCTCTAAAGCCTCCTCCCTTCAATCGCTGGACCTCTCGCCTTCCTACTTTGAAGATGTCTGGACACAGAATGAGGAATCGGGGCCGCCTTCTCCAAGTCTCCTCACTTTCCCACCAGTTTGTCCCTTGCAACAGCCTCAACTAAATTATCAAGGAAATTCTGGTTGGGGAAACAACCAAACAAAACCTGTTATGGAGGTTCCAGGACAATAAAGACATAAAGACAGCCAGAGGTGATCCAACAGGAGCCTCAGCAATAGTCTGACAAGGCATTTTAGCAGAAAGATGGGGAACACATCTATTTTTGCTTAAGGGGAAAATAAAAAAATAAATAAATAAAACAGGGTTTTCCTGTTGACCCCAAAGACAAGAGCCAAATTAAACATCTGAAGAACCAAGTGAGTACAAAGACGTGCCGAAAGGAAAACCTCAGACCTCCTCTTGCGGTACAAACTCCGTCTACACCCACCACCTAGCAGAGTAGGTTCATTCTCTTTGCATTTGCCAATTTTACTTTGTTTTCTGTCTGGTTATGTGCAATGCTAAGGCAGGACAAGATGTACAATTGCCCGCTGCAATCAACCTGCCATCCAGCGACTTCACATTGGGCTAAAATCTGCTCCCAGATAAATTGCAAGTTGAGGATGACCCCTGTCTATCTTGTTGGGTGCGTCCATTGCATTAACAGTTTTAACTGTATGGGTTAAATTAAAACTCATGCATGGATTAAGATAAAACTGCAGGCTCTTGCCTGTAATCCCAACACTTGAGAAGTGGAAGCAGGATGATCGGGAGCTTTAGGCTAGCCTTGGGTACATAGTGAGTTAGGGGCCAGCTAGGGCAGCATGAGACCCTGTCCAAAACATAAAAAGACATGATTCGAATTGCCCAACAGATCCGAATGATAATGTCCATGTCTTAGGAGGCCTTAGACTAGTGGCTTTACCCCTTCCATTAAGAATATGTTCCTGAGCAAATGGAGGCACTGTGCCCCACACTGACCACAGTAGCCAAGCACTCGGATGAGTGTACACCAGACCTGTATTCTGAGGCATTTCTGCCCAAGCAGGTCTCAAAGAAAATCCGATGGGGGAGGGGGGTGTAGTAGTAGCAGACGCTTGGATTTTGCTTCCTCAAAAAACCACAAGGAAGTTAAAGGCTGCACACACCCTGTGGCCCACAGTTCGAAGATCACTCTAAGGAGTTTGGTCTCCTTCAGCTGACTTCCTCGTGATCCGTAACTAGTCCGACTGTCTAGGGGAGGCCAAGTCCTACAGTTATATGCATTCGATCCGGTTTTTTTTTTTTTTCAACCACACAATCCCATTAGCCGCTACCATTAGTCTATTCACGCGCTTCCAAGTTAGACTGCCCCAAGTTTGGGAACCTCAAGTCCCGGACCCGGGGTACACAGTTAGGAGTGTGTGCGGGCCTGGGGCCGTTTGGCAGCCCTGGGCAAGACGCGACCCACCTTCCAATTCGGCAAAGCCAAGCACCACGTCTGAGGCTTTCCCCTGCCTGTCTTTGACATGCAGAGCTGTGATCGTGCAGCCCCAGGAGATGATGTCCACACTCAGCTGGTCTGACCGAAGCTGGAACTTCTCCACTGTCCCTCCCCCCGAGGGCAGCTCTCCAAACACGGCTCTGGTCACCGAAACCATGGGGATAGTTCGGGGCGCGCAGCTACTCCTTGTTGTTCAAACTCTAGCCCTGCTCGCGTTTGGGATGATAAAACTTCCCAGGAGAAGGGGAGGGATCCAGTTTAACTCCTCCCCTTTATTGCCTGGATTTTAGCCGAGCACCCCTAGGGGGTGGGAGGGGAAATGCCTGAAGCCTTTTAAAAACTTTCCTTTACCTGAGGTACCTGAGAGGTAAACTTTCCAGTCACGCTTGCAGGTCTTTTCCTTCGCTAATCCCAGCTGCAGTGCATGTCGGGAAAGGTAGTCTTTAAGAAATTTGCAATTGCATTTTGGGGCATGTAGTTTACACCAAAGCAACTATTTATTTTGCGCAGGCGCGCGGCCAAAAGACAGTCTCAGGTCTCTTCTTTCCCTAGAAGGCTCCGACGAATCACCTCAGGTGGGCAGGTTCGGGGGCCGCTCCTTTACTCACTAAGCCAAGCTGCCCATCCGCACGTAGTCTTTCTAAACCCCAATATCCCTGTTCCTCTGCACACCTTCATAAGATGCTCTGAGCCGAGCTGATTGACCGTTAATGCTGGTTATTAATATTGGGACAATAAGACAGATCCCGAGGGAATTCTGGTAACTCTTCGGGGTGCAGAAGTAGCGTGGTGCAGTGGTGATTTAGAGATGAAGAAAGTTGTTGCAGACTCCTCTGCTGGCTGATAATCTGTCTTGGTTTTCCTTTTCTTTTTTGTTTCTTTTCTTTTCTTTCTTTCTTTTTCTTTTTTTTTTTTCTTTTTTTCTTTGTTTTTCTTTGTCTCAGGGATTAAGCGCTCCTGAGATTGGGTCACCTGACTTTCAGTCTCCAGTTTACGCAGGGCTCTCCTTATACGTGTAATCCGATAGTCTCAGATTGTGTAGACATCTGCCTCCTTTTGCTCCCAAAGTTCAACCCTCCTTCAAGAAGGGATTAATGGTGCTTGTTTCAGAAGAACAAGTATTTTTAAAAAAGGAATTAAGGGAGCACGTATTTATTGAAGTTCAGCTACCAGGTAAATGCAGGGTACTGTTTTTTTTTTTTTCAAGTAAGAAAGCATACTTCGGTGTGTATAGTTTGAAGACTCTGAGGTCCTTAAATTATTATCTTGCTTCAGTGTGCCTCATAATTACTTGCCTGCAATTTCTGACTCTGGGAACCTAAGATAATAATCACAAATTATCTTAAATAAATAAATTATCTTAAATAAAAGATTTATTTATGTGTTGAGTGTTTTGCCTGCATGTATGTATGTGCAGGTCATTTGTGCTGGGTGCCCAGAGAGGTCAGAAGTGGGCACTGAATGCACGCAATTGGAGTTCTAAATGGTTTTGAGCTGCCATGTGGAATGTGGATGCTGGGAACTGGACCCGGATGCTCTGCAAGAGTGAGGAATGCTCTTCTTTGCTGGCCCATCTCCTTAGTCCCCTAAAAAAATTTAATTTTAATTTTTTTATTATGTGTAGACGTGTGTCTGAGTGTGCGTTTATGCCCGTGCATGAAGTGCCCATGGAGGCCAGAAGAGGGCATCTCATCCCTTGGCACTGCCATTGTAGTGCTTGACAGGAGGGCTGGAGTTCAAACTACGCACTCTGCAAGAGTGTTAGTAGTTGGCTCTTAGATACTGAGTCATCTCTCCAGCCCTGGAATCTTCACTTTTCCTCGCCTCTCAAGCCGTTCTGATTTCGATTATCTGGGACTAGATTTAAAGACATACTGTTTGAACTTTCAGTGACTAACTCACTTTTCCCAAATTAGGCTTTGATAGCCTAGCATGCCATTAGAAGCCTCAACAGAACCATGAGATAAAATACAGACACCTCTGTCTTTCAGTGATGAATCTGCTTCTCTAGAAGATGGCTGGTTCCCGAAGGAGGAGAGGTCTGGGAGCCTAAAGAAGCATAGAAGCCACTCCATCTGACTTACATTAGCCATAATTCTTGTCCGTGTTAGCCATATGATATTGTACCTGTATCAGTGAGGCGTCTGGATGACAACTGCAGACTGAGTCTTTCCTCTTCCCAGAATTCTCCTGTTCTCCTCGTCCCACCTCTACTCCCTGCCTAGCTACTGGCCAATCAGCATTTTATTAAACCAATACAAGTCCATTGTGCCACAGTACATCTGTATTCCTGGTCTTTACTTAGCCTTGGTGAGTGCAGACGCGCATCTGTGATTAGGAAATTAGGTGAACCGAGCTCACGTTCCTGTAATCAAATGCTAATAAACATTATAACGGTCTCACTCGTTTCTGTCTGTGGAATTTCAGAGAGTAGTTAGCATTCTTGCTACAAAGCCTGCATTCTCTATCAAGAAATTAGGGGAATTCTGTCAGCAAAGGAAGAAGAGCCTGCAGCAGGCTTCGGTGAAGTACCACATATAATAACAAAGAGATCCAAACAAGTAAAATTATAGACTGTGACACAGTCACACAATAACCCACAGGCACTCTGTAGGCTGCTTCATCAGAAACCCTTACAGATTCTGCAAGTCTCATCAGCCCACTTAACATGTGTGTCTGACTCATACAGAAGCCCTTTCAGCAATGTCGTATTAGCAAAGATGCCTGAGAGCCTCTTCTGTGAGCAGGTTTTCATTTCTCAACCTCCAGTTCTCAATGTTCTGCCAAGCTCATGCTTCCACAGAACAAAAGGAAACGCACCCTGGGTGGCTAGCACCAAACGTCGATGTTCTGGTGGAAGCGTCACCCCAGCCCCTGGCATCCACATACCCAAAGAGTCTGGAATGTTCGGGGGGAAAGCTCCATTCCAAGCCCTCTGCTCCATCTCTCTCCAACGGCGTGCTGCATCTCAGAAAGCCTGCCAACTGATGACCCCTTCCCCAGAGATCCTCAAGACCACTCCCACAGGGCACTAAACTGCCCCCCAGAAAACAGACGCGTGGCTTTCTAGTCTTTCTTTCCCGTCTCCTCTCTGGGAGCCTGGAAAAATCATCCGAGATTTATTAATTAAATTAAATTTAAACCTGGACTCTTTCTAATTCGGTTTGATTTGGTCTGATTGGATTGCTGCGTCGGCGGAGAGGCTTATGGGGTGCAGAAACTTTTCAGTCACCAGGGAAGTTCTTATTGCTTGGCTTGGTATGAAACACTGCATTTCCCTAAGACATGAAGGGTACATGTCTTCATTTCCTTTTCCTGTGGCTTTGAAGTGTTTAGAGTATTAAACCGGACTACCTTATGTGAGCTACAAACCTTGCTTTCTTTATTCAAATACCCAGTTTTCTTAATCTTGCAGTTCTACCCTACATTCAAAGTCTAAGTCTACAGCAATGTGCACTGTCCATAGGGAGGTCAGCACCAAAGCAGTAATGGAGAATAAAACATTATTAAATTCTACGAGGCATTTGCTTTTACTTTTCAGAGAAAGCCTGGGGGTTAAGTTACATGGTAGAGGAGTAGAGATTGTGACGACATTTTTGTAAGAAGAATTACGTATCTTCTCCTTCAACCAGAGGCAGAGGTGCCAGACTAGGCAGTTGAAGAAGGCTTGTTTCTCAGTGGGTGAATAGTCCTCAAACGGACCCGAGGCCTGAGGAGATGTGAGGCCATAGACCCTGTGCTCCACACACCACACGGAAACCACAGGCTGTGAGCTGCTCCCGGGACTCAGCTCCAGGATTCAGAAAGATGACCCCGAAACCTTAAGCTATTGACAGGCTGCTGCAATAGGAAACTCAGCCTGTTTGGCGAGGCCTGGAGGAGGCTCTTTTCCATCACGTTCACCTGGGTCTGCATCCTGTCCTTTCTCACCGTCTGACTTCCTGTGCTGTTTATCGGCAGCACTCTTCCCGGCACTCAGGCGTTACTATCTGAGATTATTCCTTTTTTTCCAAGTAAAAAAAAAAAAAATGGTTTTTGTAGTTGTTCCACTCAATTACTGATTCTAAGACTCAATTTTTTTAAATATTTGTTTATTTATTATGTATACAATATTCTGTCTGTGTGTATGTCTGCAGGCCAGAAGAGGGTGCCAGATCTCATTACAGAAGGTTGTGAGCCACCATGTGGTTGCTGGGAATTGAACTCAGGACCTCTGGAAGAGCAGTCAGTGCTCTTAACCTCTGAGCCATCTCTCCAGCCCCCTAAGACTCAATTTTTTAACTTGTTTTGAGTATTATATTTATGTTATTCCCACCCCTCCAGGAAGACTGGAAGGAGGAATTTCCAAGTGTCAGCACAACTACGAAAAGAAATGTTCTTTGACCGGAGCTACCTGAGGTACCTTCTTAAGTTTTATCTAAAGTCCCTAGGATGCGTCCCACCAGTCAGTAGAGTTTAGCAGAATAGCCTGCTGACTGCAGAGACCAGGTTCTCACCAGACATTACACCTATGGATAACTTGATCTTGGACTCTCTAGTCTCTAAAACTGTGAAAACTAAGTGTTATCATTTTTTTAAAAAAAGTTTTTTTGAGACCCAGACATGGTATCTTATACCTTTAATCCCAGCACTCAGGAGGCAGAATCAGGTGGATCTCCAAGTCTAGCCAGACGAAGCCAGCCCAGTCTACAAGGTGAGCACACAAAAACCCTGTCTTAAAAGCAAAATGAAAAACAAATTGAAACAAGGCATCTTTATGTCCCCCAGCTAGACCAGGCTAGCCTCGAATTCAGAGCTCCACCTGCCTCTGCCTGCTGTGCACTGGGATTAAGAGCATGCATCATCACTCCTGGGTGTAGTTTTTGTTGCTGTTTTGTTGTAGCATCACTAATGACAAAAACAGGAGGCACCGGGATGAAACTGGAAATCTCTTTAGGACAGAGAGGGAAGGAGAAGACGGAGAAAGCTAGAAGTAAGCAGCAAGCACTGGGATAGCCATATATCTGGCCATCAGGCTCAGGATTAGAACAGGAAGTTTTCCGCAGGACCTTTGTCTGGGTTCCTGAGTCAGACTGGAGGGGAAGCAGCTGGGTCAGCTGCTTGTGGCAACTCTAGGGTCCTAGGAAAAGCTTGATTGTCAATAGACAGCCAAGCATAGCTAGTATAATACGTCTAGCTAAGTACGTAGGAGGAGTCTGACAGACCTAACATTGCCATAAACTCAAAGGTCAACCAGCAGCTCGAAGTTCAGTGATAAGCAGGATATTCTGTCTCTTAGACGACTGATACCATTGGGTAGGGCTGAACCTAATTCCAGTGCTCCTGACCTGCTGAATGCCCACAGAGTGTGGTGTAGAGTACAACCAGAAGCCTGGCACA